GTTTCTGAAGAATTTTAACAGTTTTCTTGTATCTACGAACGCCAGAATGCATAAAATTGAACTAAACGCCTCCTTTTCCTATTCTGAGTCGATTCTGCATGCTTTAAGTGTGTTTGGTGGCTCAGAACCATAAAAAAACGTTGAAATATAGTTCAAATTCAATAAAAATCGACAAAAATACAGTTTCTAACTAAAATTTGATGGTTTCGTTGCACTTTCCGAGCCCGTAGGGTATCTGAGTGGCTTAAAAGTTCAAGAAAACACTTCAAAAGTGACGTTTCTGAAGACTTTTAACAGTTTTCTTGTATCTACGAACGCCAGAATGCATAAAATTGACCTAAACGTCTCCTTTTCCTATTCTGAGTCGATTCTGCATGCTTTAAGTGTGTTTGGTGACTCAGAACCATCAAAAAACGTTGAAATATAGTTCAAATTCAATAAAAATCGACAAAAATACAGTTTCTAGCTAAAATTTGATGGTTTCGTTGCACTTTCCGAGCCCGTAGGGTATCTGAGTGGCTTAAAAGTACAAGAAAACACTTCAAAAGTGACGTTTATGAAGAATTTTAACAGTTTTCTTGTATCTACGAACGCCAGAATGCATAAAATTGACCTAAACGTCTCCTTTTCCTATTCTGAGTCGATTCTGCATGCTTTAAGTGTGTTTGGTGGCTCAGAACCATCAAAAAACGTTGAAATATAGTTCAAATTCAATAAAAATCGACAAAAATACAGTTTCTAGCTAAAATTTGATGGTTTCGTTGCACTTTCCGAGCCCGTAGGGTATCTGAGTGGCTTAAAAGTACAAGAAAACACTTCAAAAGTGAAGTTTCTGAAGAATTTTAACAGTTTTCTTGTATCTACGAACGCCAGAATGCATAAAATTGACCTAAACGTCTCCTTTTCCTATTCTGAGTCGATTCTGCATGCTTTAAGTGTGTTTGGTGGCTCAGAACCATCAAAAAACGTTGAAATATAGTTCAAATTCAATAAAAATCGACAAAAATACAGTTTCTAGCTAAAATTTGATGGTTTCGTTGCACTTTCCGAGCCCGTAGGGTATCTGAGTGGCTTAAAAGTACAAGAAAACACTTCAAAAGTGACGTTTCTGAAGAATTTTAACAGTTTTCTTGTATCTACGAACGCCAGAATGCAAAAATTGACCTAAACGTCTCCTTTTCCTATTCTGAGTCGATTCTGCATGCTTTGAGTGTGTTTGGTGGCTCAGAACCATCAAAAAACGTTGAAATATAGTTCAAATTCAATAAAAATCGACAAAAATACAGTTTCTAGCTAAAATTTGATGGTTTCCTTGCACTTTCCGAGCCCGTAGGGTATCTGAGTGGCTTAAAAGTACAAGAAAACACTTCAAAAGTGACGTTTCTGAAGAATTTTAACAGTTTTCTTGTATCTACGAACGCCAGAATGCATAAAGTTGACCTAAACGTCTCCTTTTCCTATTCTGAGTCGATTCTGCATGCTTTAAGTGTGTTTGGTGGCTCAGAACCATCAAAAAACGTTGAAATATAGTTCAAATTCAATAAAAATCGACAAAAATACAGTTTCTAGCTAAAATTTGATGGTTTCGTTGCACTTTCCGAGCCCGTCGGGTTTCTGAGTGGCTTAAAAGTACAAGAAAACACTTCAAAAGTGACGTTTCTGAAGAATTTTAACAGTTTTCTTGTATCTACGATAGCCAGAATGCATAAAATTGACCTAAACGTCTCCTTTTCCTATTCTGAGTCGATTCTGCATGCTTTAAGTGTGTTTGGTGGCTCAGAACCATCAAAAAACGTTGAAATATAGTTCAAATTCAATAAAAATCGACAAAAATACAGTTTCTAGCTAAAATTTGATGGTTTCGTTGCACTTTCCGAGCCCGTAGGGTATCTGAGTGGCTTAAAAGTACAAGAAAACACTTCAAAAGTGACGTTTCTGAAGAATTTTAACAGTTTTCTTGTATCTACGAACGCCAGAATGCATAAAATTGACCTAAACGTCTCCTTTTCCTATTCTGAGTCGATTCTGCATGCTTTAAGTGTGTTTGGTGGCTCAGAACCATCAAAAAACGTTGAAATATAGTTCAAATTCAATAAAAATCGACAAAAATACAGTTTCTAGCTAAAATTTGATGGTTTCGTTGCACTTTCCGAGCCCGTAGGGTATCTGAGTGGCTTAAAAGTACAAGAAAACACTTCAAAAGTGACGTTTCTGAAGAATTTTAACAGTTTTCTTGTATCTACGAACGCCAGAATGCATAAAATTGACCTAAACGTCTCCTTTTCCTATTCTGAGTCGATTCTGCATGCTTTGAGTGTGTTTGGTGGCTCAGAACCATCAAAAAACGTTGAAATATAGTTCAAATTCAATAAAAATCGACAAAAATACAGTTTCTAGCTAAAATTTGATGGTTTCGTTGCACTTTCCGAGCCCGTAGGGTATCTGAGTGGCTTAAAAGTACAAGAAAACACTTCAAAAGTGACGTTTCTGAAGAATTTTAACAGTTTTCTTGTATCTACGAACGCCAGAATGCATAAAATTGACCTAAACGTCTCCTTTTCCTATTCTGAGTCGATTCTGCATGCTTTAAGTGTGTTTGGTGGCTCAGAACCATCAAAAAACGTTGAAATATAGTTCAAATTCAATAAAAATCGACAAAAATACAGTTTCTAGCTAAAATTTGATGGTTTCGTTGCACTTTCCGAGCCCGTAGGGTATCTGAGTGGCTTAAAAGTACAAGAAAACACTTCAAAAGTGACGTTTCTGAAGAATTTTAACAGTTTTCTTGTATCTACGAACGCCAGAATGCATAAAATTGACCTAAACGTCTCCTTTTCCTATTCTGAGTCGATTCTGCATGCTTTAAGTGTGTTTGGTGGCTCAGAACCATCAAAAAACGTTGAAATATAGTTCAAATTCAATAAAAATCGACAAAAATACAGTTTCTAGCTAAAATTTGATGGTTTCGTTGCACTTTCCGTGCCCGTAGGGTATCTGAGTGGCTTAAAAGTACAAGAAAACACTTCAAAAGTGACGTTTCTGAAGAATTTTAACAGTTTTCTTGTATCTATGAACGCCAGAATGCATAAACTTGACCTAAACGTCTCCTTTTCCTATTCTGAGTCGATTCTGCATGCTTTAAGTGTGTTTGGTGGCTCAGAACCATCAAAAAACGTTGAAATATAGTTCAAATTCAATAAAAATCGACAAAAATACAGTTTCTAGCTAAAATTTGATGGTTTCGTTGCACTTTCCGAGCCCGTAGGGTATCTGAGTGGCTTAAAAGTACAAGAAAACACTTCAAAAGTGACGTTTCTGAAGAATTTTAACAGTTTTCTTGTATCTACGAACGCCAGAATGCATAAAATTGACCTAAACGTCTCCTTTTCCTATTCTGAGTCGATTCTGCATGCTTTAAGTGTGTTTGGTGGCTCAGAAGCATCAAAAAACTTTGAAATATAGTTCAAATTCAATAAAAATCGACAAAAATACAGTTTCTAGCTAAAATTTGATGGTTTCGTTGCACTTTCCGAGCCCGTAGGGTATCTGAGTGGCTTAAAAGTACAAGAAAACACTTCAAAAGTGACGTTTCTGAAGAATTTTAACAGTTTTCTTGTATCTACGAACGCCAGAATGCATAAAATTGACCTAAACGTCTCCTTTTCCTATTCTGAGTCGATTCTGCATGCTTTAAGTGTGTTTGGTGGCTCAGAACCATCAAAAAACTTTGAAATATAGTTCAAATTCAATAAAAATCGACAAAAATACAGTTTCTAGCTAAAATTTGATGGTTTCGTTGCACTTTCCGAGCCCGTAGGGTATCTGAGTGGCTTAAAAGTACAAGAAAACACTTCAAAAGTGACGTTTCTGAAGAATTTTAACAGTTTTCTTGTATCTACGAACGCCAGAATGCATAAAATTTACCTAAACGTCTCCTTTTCCTATTCTGAGTCGATTCTGCATGCTTTAAGTGTGTTTGGTGGCTCAGAACCATCAAAAAACGTTGAAATATAGTTCAAATTCAATAAAAATGACAAAAATACAGTTTCTAGCTAAAATTTGGTGTTTTCGTTGCACTTTCCGAGCCCGTAGGGTATCTGAGTGGCATAAAAGTACAAGAAAACACTTCAAAAGTGCCGTTTCTGAAGAATTTTAACAGTTTTCTTGTATCTACGAACGCCAGAATGCATAAAATTGACCTAAACGTCTCCTTTTCCTATTCTGAGTCGATTCTGTATGCTTTAAGTGTGTTTGGTGGCTCAGAACCATCAAAAAACGTTGAAATATAGTTCAAATTCAATAAAAATCGACAAAAATACAGTTTCTAGCTGTCTCGTCCCCAACACAATCTTTATTTAGTTTTAGTTTAATTTGTATCGCTTGGTGCAGTACTGCGCCCGCAACCCTCGCTACACTGGTGGCCGATCTATTGCGGCCCTTTTTTCCTTTTGGTGTCCGCTTGAGTAGCAACGAGTCGAGTGGACTGAACGCGCATTGTGAAGTCGTAGTCGTACCGGCAGCGACATAACCCGCCATCTTGTAGTTGATCCCGCTTTATGATTCCCGCTATTGTTATCACCCCGCTATTGTAGTACCCGCTCTTATTATAACCCCGCTATTGTAGTACCCGCTCTTATTATAACCCCGCTATTGTTGTACCCGCTATTGTTCTAACCCGCCATTGTTGTACCCGCTATTGTACCCGCTATTGTACCCGCTATTTTACCCGCTACCGCTATAACCCGCGTCAGGGCAGAACCCTATTCCGCGCACCCCCATGCCGAGTGCTTCCTCCAGAAGCACCCCAGCCATCACCTCCAGGCCAATCTCACTTCGAACGCACAGCTCGGAAAGTCCAACTCATCTCACTCTGGTAAGCTACATATACATTTTATGGTCCTTCGAGTTAGCCGGATTAGCGAGGGTTGTGTTAGAAGTGATTAGGTTTTTGCGCGTTGGTTTTTCTGCTAATCTGACATTGTCGGGTTTGTATTTGAATCATGGCCAATTCGGAAAAAATTAAAAAGCAGCAATTGCTCAGACAAACCCCTTACAATAGGGTAGTCGAAATGAATACCTTAGCAAAACAGGCCGAACATAACCTAGATGACCGTGATAGCTTCGCAGTAGCAATCGGTGATCTTGAAAAACTGTGCGCGGATTTTTATCGTTATCACAACGCTATCATCGGCTTGATTAACGCAGAGGAATTTAATGGGGAAGATGATATTCGAAAAGTCTTCGACTCCATGGTTCTAGCGATTAAGACCATTCATTTTAAAGTTCAAAAGGCAGCCGAGACCAGTGAGCCCCCTTCGGTTGCTTCCCCCCTTAAATCTAATATCAAGTTACCCAAAGTGGAATTACCTAGCTTTTCTGGGGATATTACGACATTTGTGCCGTTCATGGACATGTTTAATAATCTCATTCATAAATCGAGCGATTTAACCGCCGTAGAAAAATTTAATTATTTGCTTTCCGCGTTGAAAGGAGAAGCTAGAGCGCTAATAGAAAATCTACCAGTCACGGATAATAATTATTTAACAGCATACTCCGAACTCCATAATCGTTACAAAAATGATAGACAAATATTGCAAGCCCATTGGATTGCGATTGTTAACGCACCCAAGATTCATTCGGAGCATCCGCAGGAGTTGCGAACACTTATAGACACGTTCTCAACTCATTTGAAAGCTATTCGTAATTTTACCCTTCCTATAGATCTAGCGGATTTTTTATTATTCAATGTAATGCATCAAAAGCTAGACTCGTCATTGATAACGCGATTCGAACTTCACCACAATTCGAAAGAAATTCCCACTTATCATAAACTGTATCAGTTTTTAGAACACCAATGGAGCGCGTTAGGCAATTCCATCCCAGTTAAACCTCAACAGAAAAAGTTCGGTCCACATAAGCCTTTTACGCCACAACCGCGATTTACCACGTCTTTAGTGGCGAAGTCAGAGTCTGTAAAGTGTCCTGTTTGTACCTCGCCTCATTTAATCTACAAATGTCTGGAGTTTCTCGGGAAATCTCCCCGTGAACGCTACGCCATTTCTAAGTCGAAACACTTGTGCCTCAATTGTCTTAGTAATTGTCATGTGAGTAAGGCGTGTCAGTCTACTCACAGTTGTCGTCACTGCGGTAAGAGGCATCATAGTCTATTACATTTCGAAGCGTTTCCGAGCGGCGATGGTCAGGTGCCGAATTCTGCGGAAGCTACCTCCATCAAACCAATGAGTGGAGTTGGATTTGCATCGCCAGCAATGGGAGTTTTATTGGCTACCGCTTTAATAGAAGTTCGCGATAACGGCGGAAATTCTAAGGTTCTTAGAGCGCTGCTGGACTGTGGCTCACAAAGTTCCTTCATTTCGCAACAAGCCTTTCATTTGCTAGGTCTGTCTAGACGACATACTTCAGGTCTGGTGCAAGGTTTGGGTCAAGTAGTTACGGCAGCCAATTTAGGTTCAGTGATAATAACGTTTCGACCGGTAGGCCAGTTAAGGCCCACTTTCAAGGTAAATGCGCTAATTTTACCCAAGATCTGTGATGACTTGCCCTGTGTGTCTCTTTCGGCCGAACATTGGTCTCATTTTCGTGCCAAGCTACCGCTCGCAGATCCTTCCTGTGTCTCTCGTGCAGGTATCGATATGCTTCTAGGAGCGGATGTCTATTCACAATTGCTTAGTGGAGAGGTGGTTAAGGGTCAGAAGGGAGAACCAGATGCGCTAGGGACAGCCTTGGGCTATGTATTAGTAGGGCAACATACCGCTAGTACTGCTAATACGAATCTTCATTCCTTTATTACCACGGTTAACACATGTTGCGATTTAGAAAGATCTATTCAGAAATTGTGGGAAGTGGAAGCAGTTCCTCGCTTACAGACTTTGTCTCCAGATGAGGAACTCTGCGAGGACATTTACAATAAAACTTACACTCGCACCGACAAAGGTCGGTTCGTCGTATCTCTACCGTTTCGCGATACCCCGCCCACTTTCGAAGACAGCCGGTCAATCGCAATCAATCGGTTCCTTCATCTGGAGGCCAAACTGTTAAAGCAACCGCAGTTGTATGCGCAGTATTCTAAGTTCATGCAAGAATATTTAGAGTTTAATCATATGGAACCTGTTCTTCCTCCGGATGACACCATTGCCACTTATTATATCCCACACCATTGTGTACTTAAGCCAGCCAGTTTAAGCACAAAGCTGCGCGTTGTGTTCAACGCGTCCGCACGATCCTCTAATCAAACCTCCTTAAATGAGCATCTTCTTATCGGTCCCAAACTTCAAAGGGATATTTGCACTATCTTATTGAATTTTCGCCTCCATACGTACGTCTTGACTGCCGACATCAAAATGATGTATCGCCAAATCTTAATCAATCCGGTTCAGTGCAATTTTCAGAGGATTATCTGGCGTTTTACTCCTGAACAACCCATTCAGGATTATCGTTTAAAAACTCTAACGTATGGAACCTCGCCCGCTCCCTATCTGGCCATTCGTACTCTGTTAAAATTGAGCGAGCAGGATGGTTCGTCGTTTCCATTAGCCGCTGCCGCCCTCCAGACGGACACCTACATGGACGATATTGTTACTGGTAACAATTCTTATCAACAGACTTTAAAGTTGAAAGATGAACTTATTGCACTCCTTAAGGGTGGAGGATTTGAACTTCGCAAATGGGCTACCAATGATAGTTCGCTTGTCTCTGACCTACCTCCGTCTCATGTTTGTCTTGATGCCATTAATATACGGGAGGAAGATCGTAATGACACTCTTAGAATCTTGGGATTGCAGTGGAATCCCGTATCCGACGCTTTCAAATTTACAGTTCATATTCTTCCCGGCAACTGCACTAAACGCCATCTTTTATCCAGTCTCGCACGCATTTTTGATCCTCTTGGCATATTGACTCCGCTTACTTTTTTCATAAAACATTTAATTCAACGCATCTGGACTCTCAAGTTAGCTTGGGACGACGCACCGCCGAATGATATTTTGCGCGCTTGGAATATCTTCGCTAGGGATCTTTCCGTTCTAAACGATTTTTCGTTACCGCGCCGCCTCCTTTGCGATAATTTCCTCTCGTGTGAAATTCATGGTTTCGCTGACAGCTCCGAGAAGGGCTATGCCGCCGTAGTTTATTTGGTTTTTAGGTTCGCCTCGCTTGAACCACGCACGCAGTTTGTTTGTGCTAAATCTAAAGTAGCACCGCTCAAGAAGATTACGATTCCAAGGCTGGAACTTTCTGCCGCAGTATTGCTAACACGGCTCCTCAATCTGGTTTGCCGAGTTTACAAAGACAAAATTCCTTTTAATCGCCTATGTGCTTGGACAGACTCCCAGATAGTTCTAGCTTGGATCAAATCTTCGCCGCATCGTTGGAAGACATTTGTCTCCAATCGCGTATCATTTATTCAAGAGCATCTGCCCTCCTCGTCGTGGTACTATGTTCCTTCCGGTCAGAATCCAGCTGATCTTGGGTCTAGAGGGGCATACCCTCAGGAGTTACTGGTTAGTTCCCTATGGTGGGCGGGACCCCCTTTTTTGAAGTCCGGCACGCCTCTCAATAATAATCTGACGCCTTCTGTCCCTGTCTCCATTCAGGACGAAGAACGCACGCAATCGTGTAATGCGATAGTGACCACCTCTTTATTGGACGACTTAGTCAATACGCACTCATCTCTGCCGAAGATTATTCGCATTCTTTGTTATGTACGCCGATTTATTCGTGGAATGACTAGACCTACAAAAAGCGCCCCCCCGTATATTCGGAATGGTCCGAAGCCTTGATGACGGTGGTCCGACACATACAAGCTTTCCATTTCTCTAGGGAAATTGACTTCCTTAATCGTGGAAAACCGCTACCGAAGGGTTTTCAAAATCTCTCCCCTTTCTTAGACGATCAAAAGATTCTTCGAGTCGGCGGTAGATTACGACAGGCTCCGTTACCCTACTCGAAACGCTTTCCCGCTTTGTTACCGTCTGGGCATCGTTTCACCTCTATGCTCATAGAATACACCCATCGCAAATATTTTCACGCTGGACATCAGACGGTTCATTACCTTATCGGTAACCAATTTTGGATTATGTCCGCCAAACGCGCGATAAGACGGGTGCTGTCTAAGTGTCTAAGATGTTTCCGTACCCAACCGGTATCCACTCAACCACGCATGGGGGATTTGCCTCCTTCTCGGTTTTCTAAAATTAAACCATTTTTACGAGTTGGGGTGGACTACGCCGGCCCCTTTTCTATTACCATGGCCAAAACGCGCGGTGCTAAAACGCTGAAAGCGTATTTATGTCTATTCATATGCTTTGCGACGAAAGCTCTACACTTAGAGCTCGCCTCAGATTTAACCGCCGACGCCTTCCTAGCGGCGTTACGACGCTTTCTTGCGCGGCGAGGGAGATGCCAGCATGTCTATTCCGATTGTGGTACTAATTTTGTTAGTGCCCACAAACAATTAGATCAATATATGCGCGAAGCTGTACAATCGGAACAGATTCATTGGCATTTCAATCCGCCATCAGCTCCACACTTTGGTGGTTTGTGGGAGGCCGGCGTCAAATCGGTAAAGACCCACCTAGTCCGTGTCATAGGCCACCAAATCTTAACCTACGAAGAGCTCTTAACTTTAGTCTCTCAAGTCGAAGCAATGCTGAATTCCCGTCCGCTTCATCCTGTAAGCAGCGACCCAAACGACTTGACCGCACTGACTCCCGGCCATTTTCTTCCGTTTGCCCCTTTAATTGCACTCCCAGAACCGGACCTTGAAGACGTGCCGGTGAACCGCCTAACTCGCTGGCAGCTAGTTCAAAGCTTTGTCAAATGTATTTGGTCGCGATGGAGTCCCGAATATACATTGCATCAGCGGTCGAAATGGTCTTCCGAGAAACCTAATTCTATCGAGGTCGGATCCCTCGTCCTTATCAAAAACGAGGTGATACCCCCTCTGCAGTGGCGTCTCGCCCGAGTCCTACTTCTCCATCCGGGACAAGATGGCATAGTTCGGGTTGTCACCTTGAAAACCGCCGGTGGAGTCCTAAAGCGCCCAGTGGCCAAACTTTGTCCACTCCCTGCAACTTTACAGTAAAAAAAAACCCTTTTTGTTTTTTTTTGGTGGGCGGAATGTCTCGTCCCCAACACAATCTTTATTTAGTTTTAGTTTAATTTGTATCGCTTGGTGCAGTACTGCGCCCGCAACCCTCGCTACACTGGTGGCCGATCTATTGCGGCCCTTTTTTCCTTTTGGTGTCCGCTTGAGTAGCAACGAGTCGAGTGGACTGAACGCGCATTGTGAAGTCGTAGTCGTACCGGCAGCGACATAACCCGCCATCTTGTAGTTGATCCCGCTTTATGATTCCCGCTATTGTTATCACCCCGCTATTGTAGTACCCGCTCTTATTATAACCCCGCTATTGTTGTACCCGCTATTGTTCTAACCCGCCATTGTTGTACCCGCTATTGTACCCGCTATTGTACCCGCTATTTTACCCGCTACCGCTATAACCCGCGTCAGGGCAGAACCCTATTCCGCGCACCCCCATGCCGAGTGCTTCCTCCAGAAGCACCCCAGCCATCACCTCCAGGCCAATCTCACTTCGAACGCACAGCTCGGAAAGTCCAACTCATCTCACTCTGGTAAGCTACACTAGCTAAAATTTGATGGTTTCGTTGCACTTTCCGAGCCCGTGGGGTATCTGAGTGGCTTAAAAGTACAAGAAAACACTTCAAAAGTGACGTTACTGAAGAATTTTAACAGTTTTCTTGTATCTACGATAGCCAGAATGCATAAAATTGACCTAAACGTCTCCTTTTCCTATTCTGAGTCGATTCTGCATGCTTTAAGTGTGTTTGGTGGCTCAGAACCATCAAAAAACGTTGAAATATAGTTCAAATTCAATAAAAATCGACAAAAATACAGTTTCTAGCTAAAATTTGATGGTTTCGTTGCACTTTCCGAGCCCGTAGGGTATCTGAGTGGCTTAAAAGTACGAGAAAACACTTCAAAAGTGACGTTTCTGAAGAATTTTAACAGTTTTCTTGTATCTACGAACGCCAGATGCATAAATTTGACCTAAACGTCTCCTTTTCCTATTCTGAGTCGATTCTGCATGCTTTAAGTGTGTTTGGTGGCTCAGAACCATCAAAAAACGTTGAAATATAGTTCAAATTCAATAAAAATCGACAAAAATACAGTTTCTAGCTAAAATTTGATGGTTTCGTTGCACTTTCCGAGCCCGTAGGGTATCTGAGTGGCTTAAAAGTACAAGAAAACACTTCAAAAGTGACGTTTCTGAAGAATTTTAACAGTTTTCTTGTATCTACGAACGCCAGAATGCATAAAATTGACCTAAACGTCTCCTTTTCCTATTCTGAGTCGATTCTGCATGCTTTAAGTGTGTTTGGTGGCTCAGAACCATCAAAAAACATTGAAATATAGTTCAAATTCAATAAAAATCGACAAAAATACAGTTTCTAGCTAAAATTTGATGGTTTCGTTGCACTTTCCGAGCCCGTAGGGTATCTGAGTGGCTTAAAAGTACAAGAAAACACTTCAAAAGTGACGTTTCTGAAGAATTTTAACAGTTTTCTTGTATCTACGAACGCCAGAATGCATAAAATTGACCTAAACGTCTCCTTTTCCTATTCTGAGTCGATTCTGCATGCTTTAAGTGTGTTTGGTGGCTCAGAACCATCAAAAAACGTTGAAATATAGTTCAAATTCAATAAAAATCGACAAAAATACAGTTTCTAGCTAAAATTTGATGGTTTCGTTGCACTTTCCGAGCCCGTAGGGTATCTGAGTGGCTTAAAATTACAAGAAAACACTTCAAAAGTGACGTTTCTGAAGAATTGTAACAGTTTTCTTGTATCTACGAACGCCAGAATGCATAAATTTGACCTAAACGTCTCCTTTTCCTATTCTGAGTCGATTCTGCATGCTTTAAGTGTGTTTGGTGGCTCAGAACCATCAAAAAACGTTGAAATATAGTTCAAATTCAATAAAAATCGACAAAAATACAGTTTCTAGCTAAAATTTGATGGTTTCGTTGCACTTTCCGAGCCCGTAGGGTATCTGAGTGGCTTAAAAGTACAAGAAAACACTTCAAAAGTGACGTTTCTGAAGAATTTTAACAGTTTTCTTGTATCTACGAACGCCAGAATGCATAAAATTGACCTAAACGTCTCCTTTTCCTATTCTGAGTCGATTCTGCATGCTTTAAGTGTGTTTGGTGGCTCAGAACCATCAAAAAACATTGAAATATAGTTCAAATTCAATAAAAATCGACAAAAATACAGTTTCTAGCTAAAATTTGATGGTTTCGTTGCACTTTCCGAGCCCGTAGGGTATCTGAGTGGCTTAAAAGTACAAGAAAACACTTCAAAAGTGACGTTTCTGAAGAATTTTAACAGTTTTCTTGTATCTACGAACGCCAGAATGCATAAAATTGACCTAAACGTCTCCTTTTCCTATTCTGAGTCGATTCTGCATGCTTTAAGTGTGTTTGGTGGCTCAGAACCATCAAAAAACGTTGAAATATAGTTCAAATTCAATAAAAATCGACAAAAATACAGTTTCTAGCTAAAATTTGATGGTTTCGTTGCACTTTCCGAGCCCGTAGGGTATCTGAGTGGCTTAAAAGTACAAGAAAACACTTCAAAAGTGACGTTTCTGAAGAATTTTAACAGTTTTCTTGTATCTACGAACGCCAGAATGCATAAAATTGACCTAAACGTCTCCTTTTCCTATTCTGAGTCGATTCTGCATGCTTTAAGTGTGTTTGGTGGCTCAGAACCATCAAAAAACGTTGAAATATAGTTCAAATTCAATAAAAATCGACAAAAATACAGTTTCTAGCTAAAATTTGATGGTTTCGTTGCACTTTCCGAGCCCGTAGGGTATCTGAGTGGCTTAAAAGTACAAGAAAACACTTCAAAAGTGACGTTTCTGAAGAATTTTAACAGTTTTCTTGTATCTACGAACGCCAGAATGCATAAAATTGACCTAAACGTCTCCTTTTCCTATTCTGAGTCGATTCTGCATGCTTTAAGTGTGTTTGGTGGCTCAGAACCATCAAAAAACGTTGAAATATAGTTCAAATTCAATAAAAATCGACAAAAATACAGTTTCTAGCTAAAATTTGATGGTTTCGTTGCACTTTCCGAGCCCGTAGGGTATCTGAGTGGCTTAAAAGTACAAGAAAACACTTCAAAAGTGACGTTTCTGAAGAATTTTAACAGTTTTCTTGTATCTACGAACGCCAGAATGCATAAAATTGACCTAAACGTCTCCTTTTCCTATTCTGAGTCGATTCTGCATGCTTTAAGTGTGTTTGGTGGCTCAGAACCATCAAAAAACGTTGAAATATAGTTCAAATTCAATAAAAATCGACAAAAATACAGTTTCTAGCTAAAATTTGATGGTTTCGTTGCACTTTCCGAGCCCGTAGGGTATCTGAGTGGCTTAAAAGTACAAGAAAACATTCAAAAGTGACGTTTCTGAAGAATTTTAACAGTTTTCTTGTATCTACGAACGCCAGAATGCATAAAATTGACCTAACGTCTCCTTTTCCTATTCTGAGTCGATTCTGCATGCTTTAAGTGTGTTTGGTGGCTCAGAACCATCAAAAAACGTTGAAATATAGTTCAAATTCAATAAAAATCGACAAAAATACAGTTTCTAGCTAAAATTTGATGGTTTCGTTGCACTTTCCGAGCCCGTAGGGTATCTGAGTGGCTTAAAAGTACAAGAAAACACTTCAAAAGTGACGTTTCTGAAGAATTTTAACAGTTTTCTTGTATCTACGAACGCCAGAATGCATAAAATTGACCTAAACGTCTCCTTTTCCTATTCTGAGTCGATTCTGCATGCTTTAAGTGTGTTTGGTGGCTCAGAACCATCAAAAAACGTTGAAATATAGTTCAAATTCAATAAAAATCGACAAAAATACAGTTTCTAGCTAAAATTTGATGGTTTCGTTGCACTTTCCGAGCCCGTAGGGTATCTGAGTGGCTTAAAAGTACATGAAAACACTTCAAAAGTGACGTTTCTGAAGAATTTTAACAGTTTTCTTGTATCTACGAACGCCAGAATGCATAAAATTGACCTAAACGTCTCCTTTTCCTATTCTGAGTCGATTCTGCATGCTTTAAGTGTGCTTGGTGGCTCAGAACCATCAAAAAACGTTGAAATATAGTTCAAATTCAATAAAAATCGACAAAAATACAGTTTCTAGCTAAAATTTGATGGTTTCGTTGCACTTTCCGAGCCCGTAGGGTATCTGAGTGGCTTAAAAGTACAAGAAAACACTTCAAAAGTGACGTTTCTGAAGAATTTTAACAGTTTTCTTGTATCTACGAACGCCAGAATGCATAAAATTGACCTAAACGTCTCCTTTTCCTATTCTGAGTCGATTCTGCATGCTTTAAGTGTGTTTGGTGGCTCAGAACCATCAAAAAACGTTGAAATATAGTTCAAATTCAATAAAAATCGACAAAAATACAGTTTCTAGCTAAAATTTGATGGTTTCGTTGCATTTTCCGAGCCCGTAGGGTATCTGAGTGGCTTAAAAGTACAAGAAAACACTTCAAAAGTGACGTTTCTGAAGAATTTTAACAGTTTTCTTGTATCTACGAACGCCAGAATGCATAAAATTGACCTAAACGTCTCCTTTTCCTATTCTGAGTCGATTCTGCATGCTCTAAGTGTGGTTGGTGGCTCAGAACCATCAAAAAACGTTGAAATATAGTTCAAATTCAATAAAAATCGACAAAAATACAGTTTTTAGCTAAAATTTGATGGTTTCGTTGCACTTTCCGAGCCCGTAGGGTATCTGAGTGGCTTAAAAGTACAAGAAAACACTTCAAAAGTGACGTTTCTGAAGAATTTTAACAGTTTTCTTGTATCTACGAACGCCAGAATGCATAAAATTGACCTAAACGTCTCCTTTTCCTATTCTGAGTCGATTCTGCATGCTTTAAGTGTGTTTGGTGGCTCAGAACCATCAAAAAACGTTAAAATATAGTTCAAATTCAATAAAAATCGACAAAAATACAGTTTCTAGCTAAAATTTGATGGTTTCGTTGCACTTTCCGAGCCCGTAGGGTATCTGAGTGGCTTAAAAGTACAAGAAAACGCTTCAAAAGTGACGTTTCTGAAGAATTTTAACAGTTTTCTTGTATCTACGAACGCCAGAATGCATAAAATTGACCTAAACGTCTCCTTTTCCTATTCTGAGTCGATTCTGCATGCTTTAAGTGTGTTTGGTGGCTCAGAACCATCAAAAAACGTTGAAATATAGTTCAAATTCAATAAAAATCGACA